AATGGTTTTTTGGAGGTGTCGACTTGGCTAGGCCACAGTCCTCCATGACTCAAACACCCAGCTAGGCATGGCCATGAAGGGATTTTTCACTTGCGATTAAAGCCCCTAATCAGCTGACATTAACAGCAAGGGAGTATTCCTGGATAGTCTGGGTGAGCCTGATTCAGTCAAAAGACCTTGGAAGCAGAAAGGCCTGTAAAGGGGAGACCTCCCTGGAATAAGGGAAGAAACTGCATGTGTGGACAACAGTGTCCGCTCCCCTGAGGAGTTTAACCTGCCCACTCTTCCCTCCGTCAGTCCCCTGCCCAGGAGCCCACCTGCCCGGGACCTGCAGGCGGGACCCCCAGCCCTGTGGACCTCACGCTTGCTCGCCAGCACTCACTCTCCCATAAGCCCATATCTTGTCACAGGTTCATGTTCACACACCCACGGTCTGGTTCCTGCTGGCCCTGCCTCTCCTGTCGAGGCTTGAACGACATACCCCCCAACTGGAAGAGACACTGCTGTTGAAAGGCATGCATTTGAGGTCCTTCCAGGCCCCCAGTGAGATCAAAAGAAGTGTAAAGGAACATGAAAAAGTGTAAGCCTGCCTTCTGGGATAAGAAAACAGAATGATACATACACTACACTTTGCTCCTCTATTAAAACAAAGTAAATATAGGAAAAGGATTTCTTTTTTAAAAACTATAAATCCAGAAACACAGGGAGAGCAGAGAAATAGCCACCACAAAGTCACTCTAGAAAATGAAAAGGAGGGGCACCTGGGTGGCTCAGTCGGTTAAGCATCTGACTTGGGCTCAGGTCATGATCTCGTAGTTCGTGCATTTGAGCATGCCCATGTCAGGCTCTGTGCTTGCTGACAGCTCAGAGCCTAGAGCCCGCCTGGGATTCTGTGTCTCCCCCCTGCCACCTGTTCCTCCCCCACTCATGCTCTCTGTCTCTGTCAAAAATAAATAAACATTTAAAAAAAATTTTTTTAAGAGAAGATGAAAAGGAGATGGGCCAGTGGCAAGTTATGTAGCAGACCTAAGCATGCCCGATCCTAAAACAACAAGGGAAAACAAGGAATTCTCGAATGCAAGGAACCGAGGTATTGTTACTTCTAGAACCTGGGGTGGAGAGAAGACTCAAGGAATTTCGGAAGGCCAGAAAGAGACTTATTCCTAGATTCCAAACTCCAGGGCTCCTACACTTCCCTCAACTCAGCAGAAGTCAGGAAGTTTTCTCCCTGAAGAACATAAGAGAGGTTTTCTGGACAAGGGAATGGCAGGCACAGAACAGAGGATTGGCGGCACACTGAAAACGAAAGGAGTACGCGGCTGTGTGCTGCCATATTGAATGCTGAATGTCAAGTATCGGCCTTCCCCCGCCAATGTGGCGCCACACATGCTGCCAGGCCTGCCCTTCCGGTCAGAGCCCAAACGACTCCTCTGGGGAATCCGACCAACTCCTGCAGACGTAAGGGGCTCATCACTGACACTGCCCAATGAGTGGCACAGCCAGTCCATGATAATCCTCAGCAGACACCCAAGGATTCCCAGACACCTGAGGTCAAATCCTCTGGGGTGCAAGGCTGAGGCCAAGACAAATAGGAAAAAAAAAAAAAATGGAGAAACTAGATTCAGGAGAAAAGACAAAAGAAAAAAGTCTATCTTCAGACAGAATATTGTACCCAGGAGACAAATCCAGAATGACATAAAGAAGAACGTTCAGGGGCACCTGGGTGGTTCAGTCAGTTGAGCATCCGACTTCAGCTCAAGTCATGATCTCGTGGTTCGTGAGTTCAAGCCCCACATTGGGCTCGCTGCTGTCAACCTGTCAGCCCAAGAGCCCATTTCGGATCCTCTGTCCCCTTCTCTCTGCCCCTCCCCAGTTTGTACTCTCCCAAAAATAAATATTAAAAAAATAAAAGACCATTCAGAAAATAAAGAGTTCTTGGAAATTAAAAGCAAGGTAGCGAGGATGAGAACTCACTAGAAGGGACTGACAAAGTTGAGTAAATCTGTGTGAAAGAACAGCAAAATGACAAAATATACTGACAGGGGATCAGAAATGGAGAGACTCAGTCAAGTACAGCTGACACACGAATAACTGAGGCCCCATGCCAGTTGTCGATGCAGTTCCTTCTTATTTGGGCTCTTAGCGTCGAGGTGCTGCCTCCCAGGCCTCCTGACCCAGATGTACCGATCTGGAGACAATGGTGAATACAGACTTGGCTACTCTTTTCTTAATTCAGAACTCTTCTATTTTTTTCTTCTTTTTAACTCAGAACTCTTCTAAAAGACAGTGTCAGGAGAAGGTAAACCCAGTCACCCTGCATATTCCGATATTCCAACATTGGAAAGAATTCCAATATTGACACTTTCTTCTCACAAGTGGCACCAGAAACAAGAGATCCGTCAAGAGAGAGGAGAGCCCAAGAAAGAAATGATGAAAATCCCCAGGAAAGCAGAGGAGAGATTTTGGCACGAGAGCTGGCACCAGATTTCTTCAAGGGCAACGAGTCGGGTTTGGGGCAGGGACTCAAGACAGAAACGGGAAGGGCTGTTAGCACCATTGTCTCTCTTTCCACGTGGCTTTGCTAAGAGCAGTGCATCCGGTGACCCTGGTGCACATTCTCATTTCCACTAGGCTTGTCCTGACATGAGCTGACAAACTTCCTGCCCTGCAGATCACCTTGAGATATCAGCCTTCCATCCCACAGAAGTGTCTCTCTTTGAGTTGCTGGCAAAATCCAGACGGCAGTGGTGAGCACGCAAGCAGCAGCATCCCAAGACCTCCGATCACATTTCCGTCAGACGGCGAGGACCTCGTGTACGGAATGCACCGCTGCCACATGCCCCGACTGGTGGCCCCAACCCCCCCCGCCCCTGGGCCCATTCTAGGCCTTGTGTGCTGACTCCCCCAGAAGGGGCTCCGGTAAAATTCCCAGGGGGGCTGAGAGTCACTCTGACCCAGAGATCGCATGACTCTTCCTGGCCAATTCATCTAATGGCGGCAATATTGTTCTCTCCCCACACAGCTAACTTGGTACTGGATGCCAGGTGTTTTCAACACTGAACACTATATTCTTTCAAGATCTCTCTGTCGGGGATAAAAACAGAAAAGCAAGGAAATTATTAAACTACAAGTCAGGGCACGGCTTCCTTTGGTGGAAAAGGCAGAGAATTTGACCATGTTGGGCCTAAGAGGCCTTCTGAAGGATTGGTAGTGTTGTGTTCCCTGAAGAGAAACACCCTGCCCATTTTGTTGTTGTTTAGGCTGTACGATTACATTGTACACACTATTCTATATGTAGGATACACTTCACAGTTGAAATATTTATAGATAGATAGATAGATAGATAGATAGATGCATAATTGCAAAGAGAACATCAAGGGGAGCCATCAAAGGGCCAGAGACTAATTCGGGCAGGTACGAGCTGGTGAGGATATAAACAGACAAAACAAGGTCAATGAAACCTGCAAGTTCGAACACCAGTGGCAGGGGGCAGTGCCACCGCAGGCCCTGTGAGAGGATCAGCCCTCTGACGCCAGCCACACGCTCCCCGGTGGCATAGGCTTGCTCTGAGGCCCGCCCTGCACGTCCTTATATTTCTCTCCATCCTTGGTATCTGATCCAGGTGGCCCTCTGCCCTGTCCATCTAAGGCGGGCAGCAGGTTGGTTTCCTTGCACCAAACCCTTTGTTCCAGCCAAGGAGAGGTCCGAGACTCTGGGGCGGAGCCTGGTTCCTAGCCCAGACCCTGTCAGTTTCCACTCGTAAGCACGAGATGTCGAGCAGCTCCTCTGACCTCCGAAAAGGCTACCCGGAGCTGGGGTTCTGCTGAAGCCCCATTTCCCACACCTACCCCGGATGTCAGCACGGGAAGGGTCTTAGAGATGATGTAGCCTGCGTTGTCTTCAAAGGCCCAGGTGCTGAGGCCACGAGTGTGATGCATCCAAGGCCTCACGGCTGGACGAAAGTCAGCTCTGCCTTTCCAGAAGGATCTGAGCCTGCACGAGACGGACACCTGCTTGGGGCAGAGCCCCTCCTCGCTGCCCCAGTCTCGGCATGGCTTAGAGACGAGCACGAATTCCCTCAGTGGTACTTTGTAGCATCCAGAAGCAAGCGCTCTGGGATCTCAGCAACTCAGCGGGCCTCCACTGTTAAAAGCCATAGTAGTTTTTTTCCTTGTAATCGTAAAAGAAAACCAAGTTTCCTATAGGAGATTTGGAAAATACAGATACGTCTAAAAGACCCACTGCTAAAACAAGTGGCCGTTGCCCCATTTGCCAGGTGGGTGACAAAATCTGTGCAGCCGCTGCCGCTCTCACCCTGGCTCCGGGCAGCCCGGTGGCTGGGTGCACATGGACAAAAAGAGGAGGCCCTCTGGGCCCCGGCCAGCCGCACCAGCCCCCCACCCCCACACCTCAGCTGCCACAGTCCACACAGCCCTGTGACTCTCGTGGCCACCGGTGAGGCCAAGACTGCAGGTCCACGATGGAACTTCACCCAGCAAGAAAGGACCAAGGAGATACTAAACCAAATCGGCCCCCGCTGGCCAGGTCACGGCAGCGGCATGGTGCGGTGCCCCTGCAGGCCTCCGGGCAAAAAGAGCAGAGGAGAAGGACTCTGCTCTGACCCAGACCTCGGCGCATCTAATGAGGCCAGTCCAGGCTTCCTGCCACCCCAAAACTCCAGAGAGCCCTACGTGGTACTGCAATGCTGGGTCCTATCACAGTGCAGCCCCCACACCAGGCGCGGCCTTCTTTAGCCCCGGGCCTGACCTGGGCCTCCTCCCCTTACTGAGGACATTAGGGGATCTCCATGTCCTTCCAATCTCCTTTGCTCTTCACAGCTCTGAATGTAAGCAGCTGAGGGTACAGGCAGCAGGTCAAAGGGGCTCCTGAGTATCACAGGCGCTGGAGAGAACCTCGCACACCAGACAATTCCGGCTACATGCAGAGAGCCGAAGGACGGGGAACAGACGGAAAACCAATTTAAAAAACAGGTATCTTCATTTCAACAAGTTACGGAAATTGACCTTTATTTATTGTACTAAAGTCTGTGTAACTTTTGATACAAAGTAAGGTTTTAGTACAGAAAATCCCAGTCTGTCAGAACAGTACCTGTGCACACTACCATCACAGTCCCACTCGGGCCGCAACCCAGAGAGACAGCCAGAGGGCACCAGGTGGGACCGCAGACAGCCCACCGTCTGTCTTGGTTGTCTGAGCTAGAAGACGACGCGTACCTGTGAAACAAAGGGCAGCACTGAGGACTGACACATGTCTCTTTTTGAACAACTGTGCAAGAAAATATATCCCTTTTTTTTAAAAAATGTCAGTTTGGCTAATCTACAATCTAGTGTCTAGAATTACAAAGAATAAAATGAAATCAAAGATTTCTTGCTAGTAAAATGAAATGTTAGGAATAGTATTAAAATATAGGTCCTACCCCAGTGACACTTCCACGGAGCCCAGTACAGTACCTATTATTAACAGGACGCACAATTTAAGGAGGAACCACATCAAATCTTCAGCCGGAGATATCCAGCATCAGAAGTGCAAAAAAAAAAAAAAAAAAAAAAAAAAAGAAAGAAAAAGAAAAAAAGAAAAGAAAAGAAGAAAACCCAACCAAAACAAAACCCCCAACAAAGACGTTCTTGTGGGGTCGTGTTTATGCTGGGAGCACGGTCACTGGGACTAAGAAGGTCCTCAGCCGCTCTCTAGATGTCTGACAGTGAGGACACTCGGCATTAAGCTTCCCCTAAGCGCTCTGGGTTCAAAGTCTGAAACACGAGTGTCTTCACATCAGAGACAGCTGATGTAACTGCCCCAGCCCCCAGCGTTTAAGAGTTACCCTGCAAAAATTGCACTGATAAAGCGGTCATTATTTACAGAAGCTGAAGAGGTCCCAGTAGCACGCACCAGCCCTCGGTTAACTAACACCCTGCCCAGAACTACGGTGTGGTGGTGACCCCAGGTAGAATGCGGACGCAACAATCACAGATGGAGAAGAAATGAGAGAACACAGAAGGTAGGACAGAAAGCCCGAGCAATGAAGGTGCAGGAAGCCTACGTGGTCTTCCTGGCGCAGGAAGGGAGAACACGGCTGCTGGTGACTCGGCCCTACAAAGGCACTGGTCCTGCCACAAGAGCGGCTAAGCCTGTGCAGTCACCGTGTCCCTTCCAGGAGAGGTGCCACCGTGGAGTGGGAAGTTTCTTGAAGCTCTGGTCCCACCGACAGGAACCTCCCAGAGCAAAGTGGGCCCCAGCGAGGTTCCAGAGTCATTTTGCTAAAAGCAGGAACAAAACCCAACACCAAAGCAACACAGGGGGTGGCTGACAGAGGGATAGGGCTGGGCACCGACAACATGGAGCCGTTCAAGTAAACATAAGCAACCAATACTTAGAAAAGGCTTGTAAACGTGTGATCTGAAAGGTTGTCTTTGCAGCATCTCTGATCGGCTGGCTAAAGAAAGGGTGGTGTTGAACCCCTCTATCGAAAAGTCTTTTGTGTTTTTTTATTTCGTCTTAAAGCACATGTGTGAGAGGAAGGCGGTCCAATGGCCTGGGCCCGGATCCTGTTCACTTGTGGCCCTGGGTCTACAGAGGAGATGCTTCCGGAGTCCCATGTGCACAGGTCCTTCCCCTCCATGTTTATATACAGATAGACGTGTACTTTCAGTCACTGAGAAGGAGCTGGGCCACACGTTTATGCCGGCAGACAAGCCGCAGCGACTTCCAGCGTGGCATTCTTCTACAGCGGGCAGGCTGGAATCCACAGGACTTTGTTTTGTTCTTGATTGACCATTGCCAAGATCTGAGTGCAAATGCTCGACAGGGCTCCTCCCTGGATGACCCCTGCAAGAGAGCCCCCAAACACATCATTGAGTTCAGAGTGAGTGAGACCCCAGGCCTGTGGCAAATAAATACATCTTTTACTCTTTCTGGTTTTCTGCCTGTTTGGAGCTGCTTGGTTTTCTTTCCTCACTCTCTTCCATCAGCAAGAAATTGGGGAAGAGAAAGAAAAGAGTTGAGTGCAAATAACTTTGGTTTTTTTATCTGTCCCTCTGCTCAGCTGTTGAGTAGTAGGATGCTGAAAATGCGGGCTCAGATGAAGGTTGGTGTCAAATTTTGCCAGGCTCAGGGGCGCCTGGACGGCTCAGTTGGTTAAGCGTCCAACTCTGGGTTTTGGCTCAGGTCAGGATCTCACGGTTTCGTGGGTTCGAGCCCCGCGTTGGGCTCTGCGCTGACAGTGCAGAGCCTGCTTGGGATACTCTCTCTCTCGCTCTCTTTCTGCCCCTCCCCCACTCACGCTCTCTCTCAAAATAAATAAACTTTAAAAAAAAGTTTTCTTTTGTCAGGCTTCATGGGCCCCTGTAACAGGGATGACCAGGATCTGCCCACTCACACCAACTGCACAGTCTCACCGCATGCCCTGGGTGGGGCTTGCCTAGTCTTGCAATGTGGAGCCTGGCACATGGGAAAGTCTGTTGCGATGGTTCAATCAGCAGCAGGATTCTCCAGAAACAAGAATAAGTTTAAGGAGCCGGCGCATCCCCATAGGCCAGTGAAGACTCCCAGGCAAGATGATGATACGTCCCCAGCTATGGCCAGCCCTGCCCTGCAGGCTTTCAACACCAGAGGTCCCGTAGACACTAGCCCAGAGCTCTCAGTGTGCTCCATGGAACAGCACCGGTTGACAAAACGGTCCCCGGCCACTTCCCACAGGTATGGACAGAAATAGACAGGGAGCATTTAGAAACTGCTGTCGAACTGTGACAAGAGTAATTTTATGTCTGTTGAAACTAAGAGAAGAAAGTCAAAGGTTATATTTTGTAAGTTTTGGAGTTTTAAATTTTCATTTCTCTAGTAATTACTAACATATTTGACTAAATACTGGTCTGTGGCAGATTGAAGATTGAAACTCCATACACATACATAGAAGCTCCGAGTCTGGTTTTTGAGACCCACTGTTTTGCACAAGAAACACAAAACCAGATCACAACAGTCCCTACAAGTGAATTAAAATCATGGTCCTTGCCTCTGCGAGCCCAGTGTTCATTAACCCCACCACAAACGACTGGTTTCATCAGAGGCTGAAAGCCACAAAGTGAAGTGCTTCTTTCGGTTTGCGGTGCTTCGAAGATCAAAGCTGGTAAGAGTGCAGCTTTTTCTTCGCCAAACCGTACGGCAAGAGTGGAGCGCCCTGAAGGGTGTGAAGGGCAGATGGCCGCAGCCACCAGCTAGAATGCTGGAGCTCTACGCTCGGCACCTGTGCTGTGAGATGAACTTGTTGCTGCCTGGGTAAAAGTCCGGGTGGACAAGGCCAGACCACACCTACCTGTGAAGTATCTACTGTACTCCTGTTCGATCTTCTGAGCCGTCTCGAACTGCTCTTTGGAATGCCTCTGAGTCACCTTGTCCTTCAGGTAGATGGGGTCTCGCTGCTCCCTATCAGACATCCAGAGAAGCAGGCTGAGTCTCCTGCCTCCCCGGGCCCTCCGCCTTCCGGTGTAACAGGGCCTCTGTCAACAGGGCCCCATGCGCTCCTCTGGTAAAGCACAGCGACAGCCTGCAGGCCCCATGGAGTGCTCTGGGCAGTAGGGGGGAGGTGGGCGCCCCACTGCAGGCACACAGAGAACAGACACCCCCACCCCCCAGCTGGTCCCCAGGTGCAGGAACCGGAAGCTTAGAAGCACAGAAAGGCAAAATGGAGGGGAGGGCTTGACGAGCTGTCAGCCCAACCAGTGTGAAAACTAAAGCTCAGTGAAACTAAAGGCTCATCCATGACCCAAGCCAGCTCCTAGCAGACCTGGATCCAGCCCAGGTCAGCTAGTCACCGTGTCCCCGTGAGCACCAAGCTGAGAGGCGGAAGGGCAAAGAGGGGTGGGACGCCCAGGAAGCAGAGCAGACAAAGCCGCGCATACTCTGGGAACCGTGGCAGCAACCAGAGAGGGCAAAGGTGCAGTGGGAGGAGGGCTGTGCTTGGTTAACCCTGCCTGACTGAGCGTTGAGACGGGGAGGGTCCCACACACGCTGCCCGTCTCATTCTCCCACATCCGCCCCCACTGCCTAGCGTTTGAGCCAGCAGCCCCATCCCCAGCAAGGCCCCTGCCGAGCCCCCGCCGAGCCGGGCACCTACTTGATGTGTTTGGCGCTCTTGTAGTGGATGAAGATGACAATGGGGTAGATGTGCATGTGGTGCAGCCGCTCGATGGCATGGGGGGAGATGTCCAGGAGACAGTGCCGGTTCTGAGGGGGGGAGGGGGAAGAGTAAGTGCCTCGGGACCGGCGGGGGGGGGGGGTGGGCTGGGCCTCAGAAACACTGACACCCTTCTGAGGACACCTCCTGCCTTTCTCTGCCACTGCTGGGTCCCACCTCTCCCACACTGCTCTCCCTCACTCCATACGCAAACACGAAGGTCTTACCCGTGAACCAGGCAGCATGACCAGTCTTCCACGAAGACCACGTAGGAAAAACCGTGGGGAGCTTTACCCCAGAAAATCTCTCCCCCACAAGCTGTCAACTCTGATGGTGGTCAAGGCTCGGAGCCAGGGTGGAGTGGGGTCTGGACGGCCCACCTCCAAACTTCCTGTCCTTCGTCTGCCCAGATACAGGGAACTTTCTTAAAGCCCACCCCCAGCCGGGCCTCAGAAGCCTCACTTCTGCCAGATTGAGCAAAAGAAGACATGGAGATTCAGCAGGGCCTGCCCCGGGGAAGGGGAGTGCGTGTCTTTGAGTGGCTGTGACTGAAACGTGTCCCCGGATTCCCTGAGCCTGCGGGCAGAGTGTGAGCCAAGGAAAGACCACGGGCCCTCTGCACGTGGCTCTCCCCGATGCCCGCAAGCTGCAGAGAGGGAGCCCAACGTCGGCCAGCTTTCCACCTTCCTGGAGCACCCCTAACTGGAGCACATCCACCTCCTTCACTCAGTGAGGAGGACACCAAGGAGTAGCCACACCTTCAACAGCTGCTTTTCCAATATCCCTTCCAGATTTCCCCACTTTTCCTCATGCTGCCTGGCAAACGGACCCCAGTACCTTCAAGAGCCTTAAAGACACACCGAAATGGCTCTTAATCCTTTCAGGGGCAGCGACCCTGATGGAGGCTGGGCGCCCTGTCCCCAGAACAAGGCACACATAAACACGTCTGCACATAAGCAGAGCAGATGCAGGACCCTGCTGTAGAATCCCCCGTGTGGGGCTTTCCTAGAGTTCAAAGCTCCCATCAGATCCCCTCAGAGGGACAGAGGTGACATGTGCGCAGGGACTAGCATCCTGTTGGTGACCGTGGAAGCACACAAAAGCAGTGGGGGCAACCCTCGAGGAGAGCGACTTGGACTAAAGGGACATAGGCAAGTTCACCGAAGGCCCAAGAAACACGCAAGGCAGAGATCCAAAAGGGCCAGGCATCCACGCCCAAATGCTCAAACCTAACCCTTGGTCTGAGGCAACAGGTACCTTTTCTGTGATCTCCTTTATGGAAGCCACCGTGGTCACATCAAAATGGCCACTCCTCCGCTTATAGTCGACGAACAGGCAGTCTTTGACGCCCCGCTCGATGGCCTGCTGGGAGGCCTTCATCACCTCTGCAAAGCACAGACACGGGAATGAGGATGCCCCCTGGCGTGGTGAGCTGTCCCAGCACATTCTGGGCAAGGACACTGTGCAGAAGAGCAGTTCTGCCATCCTTACTTCCAGAGAAAGATCCGGAAGGCACACAGCAATGTGACCCAAGTCAGGAGGACTCAGAAACACCGTGGAACGCAGCCCCAGGGGACAGGTGGACATAGCCCAGTTGGCACAGAGGGTGCCCCTTACCAAGGGGGCATCTGCAGAACTTGCCGGGCGCCTCGTTCACCAGCATCTCCTTCACCACGTCCAGTAAGGGCCCCAGAATGAGGACGGGCCTCAGGGAGGTGCAGTCTACTTTCTGGACCCGCTGATAGGCAAGGCTCACCGAATCTGTGGGAGACAGGGGCAGTGTCACAGGCACGCGCCTGGAGCAGAGGGAGGGAGAGAGGCCGGGGACCCACTGCTGCCCTGACCTTTCTCAGCCCAGGCAGCTTTGCCCGCTTCAGTCCACACATCCAGAGCCAGGTGGAGTGAGCAGCTCAGCACGGTTCGCCTGTTCAGTACTGGAGAGTCCCCTTGTCCTGGGCACACCAAGCTCACGGGCAAAATTGAGGGGAAGTCTGTCCCCTCCCTCACCCACACCTCCACACCTCCACATCTCCATACATGAAGATTATCCATGTATATCTACATGGCTTCCTATAGAGCATTTCTCAACCTGGTGACCAGCTGACCTGTTCCGTTCAGCAGGGGAGGGTTTGGTGGCCACAACGGCCATCTAGGAACTCCTATGCATTTCTGACTAAAGCCTCTGAGGAGTCCTGGGGCAAAGGAACTCCTCCACGGAAAGATGAACACATCTTCCCTTTTAAAAATCAGAACATTACAGGTAGGGCGAAACAGCTCTGACACCCATTCTCCAGTCCTGGTCCCCGCCAGCCTCCTCATAACCACTATTATGAGCTGGAAGTACATCCTTCCAGATGTTTGTTGTTGTCACATGTTGATTTTTACATACTCAAAAAAGACTAGTAAATATGCTGTGTGTGTGCATGTGCCCAACAAAAATGACACAACACTATAAACATTCTGCACCTCCCTCTTCCAGTCAGTGTTAGGTTTCTGGAAGGCATCCCTGTTAATTCATATTGCCCTCCCACATTCCTTCTGAACTTCCCATGCATGGATACACTGCATCTACACCTCCATTTCCCTGTGTATGGACATCAACTCACTATGCCTTCAACTTATTTGAGCAAGAATCATATTCTACCCTAATGACTATGAACATTCCACACAGTGGGATACCAATTTAGAAGATTCCTGTTCCTCCCTGAATAATCTGCTTTGTTGGAAGTCCTCACAATTACAGATTCAGAGAGCTATAGAACATCTCACAAGTCATTAAATCCAACCACAGAAAATATAAAACTCCCTGGGAAGAGAAAAGATACATATAGAGAATCTGGAAGTAACATAATGTAGGCATGTAAATCACTCTAAATCTGGTGTAGATATTTAAAAACGAAAGCATAAAAGTAATTATAAATCTATGCTAGTCTATACACTGATAGAAAAAGAGGTAATAGGTGTCATCAACAACATAAATGGGGTTGGGGTCACAGAGGTGTAACATGGAATTTTTGCAGGAGACTGAAATTAAGTTACTATCAGTTTAAAATGGATTGTTATAACTTTAAGACTTTAAGGGGTTTTATGTAATTTCAATGGTAACCAAAAAGAAAATCTCTTGAAAATATACATGAAGGGAAATGGGAAGGGAATCAAAACCTGTCACTATCAAAAGCAAACAAAAAAACCCGAAACCCACAAAGCATACAACAGCGGGCAGCAAGGGAGGAAGAGATGGACAAAAACGGTATAAGACACACAGAAAACAATTCAAGTGGAAATAAGTCCTCCCATATCAGTAATTACATGTGAATGGATGGGCTGAATGGATAAATAAATAAGATCCAGCTACATGCAGTTTGGGAGACTCACTTGAGTTCTAAGAATACCCACCGGCTAATAGTGAAAGAACAGAGAAAAGCTATTTCGTGCAATTGAGAATGTAAAGAGAGCAAGGTAGTCATGTTCTAGCAGCCTACACAGACTCTCAGGCAGATGATGTCACAAGAGACAAAGTAGGACATCATATAATGACAAAAGGGTGAATTCTCCAGAAAGATACAACAATTATAAACACACATGCACCTAACATCAGAACTCTCAAATACATGACACAAACATTGACAGAACGGAAGGAAGAACCAGCAACACAAGATTCATAGGGACTTCAAAGCCCCACTTTTGTTATGGACAAAACAGCCAGACAGAAAATAAGGAAAGAGCAGCTGAACCACAAAGCACTACATACCACGTGGACCTAACAGACAGGCACAGAACACTCCAACCAGCAACAGCAGAATACACACTCTTCTCAAGTGCACAGGGAGCATTCTCCAGGATAGACCACAAAATTAATTTAAGAAGACTGAAATTATATAAAATATCTTTTCTGACAATGGAATGAAACTAGAAATCAACAGCAGAAAGAAAAAAAAGGAAAACAGACCCATACTTGGAAATGCAACAAGTCACTCTTAACCCAAGGGTCAAAGAAACAAATCAGAGAGGAATTTAGAAAACTTTGGAGACAAATGAAAACAACACAGCATACCGACGCTTGCAGGATGCAGAAAAGCAGTCCTAAGAGGGAAATCTGTGGTAGTAAATGCTGACACTGAAAAAGAAGAAATCAACAATCCAACTTCACGCTTTGAGGAATCAGGGGGGAAAAAAAAAACTAACCCAAATTTAGCAGAAGGAAGGGAAAAATAGAGAGCAGAGATAAATCAGAGAACAGAAAACCAGAAAAAAAAAATCAATGAAACCAAGACTTGGCTTTTTAGTAAGGTCAAGAAAATTGACAAACTCTTAGCTAGAACAATGAAGAACAAAAGGGGGAAGCCTAACATAACTGCAGTAAGTGAAGAAAGGGACATAACTGATTTCACAGAAATAAAAAGGATTATAGAAAACTACTATGAATAATTATATGTAAACAGCCTGGAAGAAATGATAAATTCCCAGAAACATAGAATGTATTATGACTGTGTCATGAAGTAATTTTTAAAAATCTGAACAGAGCTATAACAAGGGGACTGCAAGTAATAGAAAAAACTTCCCAACAAGAAAAAGCCCAGGACAAGATGGCTTCTTCAGCAGAGAATTCTACCAAAATAAAATTTAAAAAATTAGTATCAGTCTCTTCACACTCTTCCAAAAATTGAAGAGGAGGGGGCACTCCCAAACTCATTCCTCAGTACAACAAGAAAACTACAGACCAGTATCCCTGATGAATATAGACACAAAAATCCTCAACAAAATACTACCAGACTGAACTCAACAACACATCAAAAAACACGTCATATGCCACGACCAATTGGGATTTATCCCTGGAATGCAAGGATGGCTCAACATACAAAAATCCATCAATGTCATACACCGTATTAACAAAATGAAGGACAAAAACCACATCACCTCAATTGATACAGAAAAAGCATTCGACAAAACTCAATACCCTCTCATGATAAAAACACTTAAACTAGAACAGACAGAAACTACTTCAACATAACAAAAGCCATATGAAAAGTCCATAGCTAACATCATATTCAATGGCAAAAGATGGAAAACTCTCCCTCCAAGAGCAGAAACAAAGGCAAAGATGCCCCCGTTTGCCACTACTATCCAACAGGTTTACTGGGAATCCCAGCCAGGGCAATTAAACCAGGAAAGAAAGACAGCATCCACGTTAGAAAACAAGCACTAAAATTATCTGTTCACAGATGACACAAAATTATGCAACAAGTTCTAGAGAATACACACACACACACACACACACACACACACACAACCTGTTACAACTAATGATTTCAGCAGTTTCAGAATACAAAATCAACATACAAAAATCAGTTGCATTTCTATATGCTAACAATGACCATTCTGAAAAAGAAATTAAGAAAACAAACCCGTTTACTAGAGCATCACAAAGGAAAAAATACTTAGGAACCAACCTAACCAAGGAGGTGAAAGACTTGTAAACTACAAACTACACAATATTGCAAAAAGAAATCAAAGAAGATACAAATACATGGAAAGACATCCTATGCTCTGGACTGGAAGACTCAGTATTGTTAAAATGCCCATACTACCTAAATCAATCTACAGATTCAATGCAATCCCTCTGAAAATCCCAATGGCAGTTTTTGCAGAAAGAAAAAAAAACAAAACCCTGAAATTCATATGGAATCTCAAGGGACCCTGAATAGCCAAAAGAATCCAAAAAGAACAAAGTTGGAGGCCTCACACTTCCTGATTTCAAAACGTACTAGGAAACAACAGTTATCAGACAGTGTGGTCCTGGCATAAAGACATATATACTGACCAGTGGAAGACACAGAGAGCCCAAAAATAAACCCTGTATAATGGCTACATGATTTTTGAAAAGAGTGTCAAGATTACATAGTCAGGAAAGGACTTCAACAAATGGTGCTGGGAAAACTGATACCCACATGCAAAAGAATGAGGTTGGACCTTTATCTTACACCATATACAAAAATTAACTCAAAATGAAATAAAGATCCAAACAGAAGACCTAAGATCATAAAACTCTGGGAAGAAAACAGAGAACAACCTTCATGACATTGGTGTGGGCAATGATTTCTTTTTATTATTATTTGAGAGAGAGAGAGAGAGAGCACAGGCGAGAGTGGGGGGCAGGGTGGCAGAGAGAGAGAGAGAGAGAGAGAGAGAGAGAGAGAGAGAGAGCGCGCGTGCGCTAGAGACAGAGAATCTTAAGCAGGCTCCACACTCAACACAAAGCCCAAAGCAGGGCTCAATCTCACAACTGTGAGATCACGACCTGAGCTGAAATCAAGAGTCAGATGTTTATGGAATACTACTTGGTAATGAGAAAGAATGAAATCTGGCCATTTGTAGCTACGTGGATGGAACTGGAAGGTATTATGCTAAGTGAAATAAGTCAGGCAGAGAAAAATAGTTACCATATGTTTTCACTCATATGCAGATCCTGAGAAACTTAACAGAGAACCATGGGGGTGGGGGGGAGGGAGGAAAAAAGAGTTGCAGAGAGGGAGGGAGGCAAACCATAAGAGACTTAAATACTGAGAACAAACTGAAGGTTGATGGGGGGTGGGGGAGAGGGGAAAGTGGGTGATGGGCATTGAGGAGGGCACCTGTTGGGATGAGCACTGGGTGTTGTATGGAAACCAATCTGACAATAAATTATATTAAAAAAAAAAAAAAAAAAAAAGAGTCAGATGTTTAACCAACTGAGCCACCCAGGCACCCTGGGCAATGATTTC